AATACAGTGTGTACTAGCAAATATGGAGGATTATATATAATAATGTGAAATAAAAGTCATCAAAAAAACAAAACAGCCATCATCCTTTCATGGTACTGTGGTATGCACTTCATTCACTGAGTTCATGAAAAACTAAATATCAAATTTCCTATACACATGTATGTGAGGATATTTCAGAAAGAACCTCTCAGTAACGCACACAATGGAGGGTTTCATTGACTTTGTGATGGCCAAGCAATCCATGAAACCCAACTCTCAGAAGATTATGTTACTGTTAATATCAAGTGTTCATAATCTGACAATATCAAAATGGAAGCGTGGTGTTGCGTTACGGGTACATAAATGTAACTTTTGAGTACTGCTTCACTCAAAGAATAGGTGATGTTAGAATACTTATTATATCATAAACCAATCTCCTAACAATCTTCTTTTCAATAAGTGGTGAAAAGCATTAACATTTGAAGCATTAGCATTTATTTCTCTTGTAATTTTTAAAATCACGATTGTTGTTCGAAAGCTCTGCAATGTAACGGATTAAATCCAATTTATTTACAGGTTCTAATATTGCTCTGCAAAGTGACGGATTAAATCCAATTTATTTACAGGTTCTAATATTGCTCTGCAAAGTAACGGATTAAATCCAATTTATTTACAGGTTCTAATATTGCTCTCTTGTTAAATTGCTCACGTGAACGATTCCAGAACTGAAGATTTTCGTTGTTTTACCTTTAAGTGAAAAGAAGATGAACGTTTAATCATAATATAATAGGTCAAAATGAGTTACGCTATCTGTCCAGATTTTAAAAGCCTTAGTTGCCTTAGTACAACTTAATACTTTATTGTTACCTCCATAGCAGTAACAAATAGCAAAGAATGTGAAAACGTTTAACCTTTAATAAAAACAAATCAAGTACATTTATATTTTTATTTAATCAATATTTTGCATGTGAATATGAAAGACTCGAATTATAGAAGCTCACACGAAAAAGTCTAGATCAATAATAAAGTCCCCCAGTGGCACAGCGGTATGTCTGCGGACTTACGACACTAGAATCCGGGTTTCGATACCCGTGATGGGCAGAGCACAGATAGCCCATTGTGTAGCTTTGTGCTTAATTACAAACAAAATCAACAATTAAAACAGTCACTCGCTTCAGAAACGCTTTTTTTTGTTAGTTAGTTAATTCTGGTTTCGTAACATTATAAGTACCACTCTTGAAATTTATATAAAAAAACCTAAAATACATCTAAAATAAACCCAGTTTAAACGTTTTACAGTTTTGTTTAAAATATACTGAAAGATGTATACAGTAAACATAAAAACCAAATATTTTGTTACTTATGATTTTGAACCATAAAAACATTACCGGCGTGTTAAAAGTAACAGTAAACTGGTGAATTTACGAAAAGCGATTTCTGCACTCAATAAGCCACATTAAAAAAAATAAAACGTGAACCTTTTTCCTTAAAACGTTTAAAAACAAATATTTTATTTTTATCTAAGCGACGGTATATTTGTTGTTGTTGTTGCTAATCGTATATATTAGTCTACTTTCAGTATACAATGTTTTTCCATTATTACAACACTTTTTTTAAAGTACAGTGCTACCTTTATAAACGCTCGAAACTGCTTTTCAAGTAAATATCGTAACATAAACAATCAGTCAACAACTTTGTCACCGTTTCCGGCTAAAATTGAACAAACAAAAATACTGTTGATGTAACGGTAGCTTCTCTGGATTTTACTGTTTATTTCTGATATTTGAGATATTTTTTAAGTTTGAAGAACTCTCAGTCTGTACGAGAAACTTTCTTTATATAACTACTAATATAATTTTATATTTTCCTTTACCGAAGTAATACATGTTAACACTATTTGTAAGCCATATTTGTATGATAAATTAATAGCTGATGTTCCTAAAATACCCTCAAGATTGCCGTATTATGTCGGAGCTATCAAGTGTTTCTGTTTTTTTTTTTTTTCCTTGTTTTTTTTTTAATATTCTTAGCTGTCGTTGTTGCCATTTATAAAGTGATAATTTTGTATGGGAGTATATCAGTATCTCAAAAGATGGCGCTACAGGCATCAGTCCGGGACTAACTTTTTTTTTTCAGGTGACTAAACGATTATTAGAAATGGCACCCCTTTTCTTGCTCTCACGAAGTCCAAACGGACATGATGATATTAATATAATTACAAAATGATTTAGAATATAGATTTTCGATGTTTTTATTCTTTACTTCTTTCAATTAAAAACTTGCTACACCAGTGTTCATAAAAAAAAAAACTTTGGCATTAATTCTTGTAGCTTTTGTTTTGTTTGTTTGAAATTAAGCAAAAGTTTCACAATGGACTATCTGTGCTCTGCCAACTACGGGTATCTAAACTCGGTTTCTAGCGTTCTAAGTCCACAGACATGCCGCTGTGCCACTGGAGGACTCCTGTCGTTACTTACATTAATTATTTTCTTGGAGTTTTTCTTTCTGTTCTGAGTACCTGATGGCTTGGAAGTTGACCCACTTAATAATTACTTCTGATTCTCAACGCATAACACATATACTTTACTAAACTTCAGGCAGCTACTCATACATAATACTGAAAGTGTTATAGAGATGTACATTTGAGCATTTGCTACATTTCTAATATGTTTTAAAACGCAGAGTATATCAACATTTTCGCCCCCCCCCCCTAGTGGCACAGCGGCATGTCTGCGGACTTACAACGCTAGAATCCGGGTTTCGATACCCGCGATGGGCATAGAACAGATAGCCCACTGTGTAGCTTTGTGCTTAGTTACAAACAAACAAATCAACATTTTCCGATATACAGTAACTTTCTTTTGAATGCATTTATACGTAAAGTGTCGATATACATATATATATAAATTATAAGGCACATCCCTGTTCTCACCTATATACAATTAAACAACCCAATTTAATCAATACATTTATTTCAAACCGAAAAATAAAGCTCAGTCAGAATACATTATGTACGTCCAATGCATAATAAAGGCAACATAATTAACATTGCCTAATTGTTTTTTATTGATTAAACATTTTGTTTCTTATTAAAAGTTCGTAAATAGATATTCAATTGTTAATACAATATTTTACATCAGATTACATTTGACATCAATAGGAAAGACAGCGTTGATAACAGAACTTCCTAATATTAAAAATAATAAAATACGGATAGAAGCAAAACACCCAGAAATAAGGACGAAATATAAGCTACAATGTAGGAATTACAAAACGTGTCTGGACAGCTACTTGTGAAGAAGGAGAAGCACAGCGATATGGATAAGATACCTATCAGACTTATTTCCTTTTCACAAGCTCTACGTCCTACAGAACATTTAGTATCAAAAGCAGATGTGAGTGTCCACAACCCATATCTGTCTGAGCCTTCAAGAGTCCACAACCCACATCTGTCTGAGCCTACAATAGTCCACAACCCATATCTGCCTGAGCCTACAATAGTCCACAACCCATATTTGTCTGAGCCTTCAAGAGTCCACAACCCATGTCTGTCTCAACCTACAAGAGTCCACAACCTATATCTGTCTGAGCCTACAAGAGTCCACAACCTATATCTGTCTGAGCCTACACGAGTTCACAACCTATATCTGTATGAACCTTCAAATGTTCACAACTCATGGACACTTATAATTATAATTTACAAAGCATTATTAAAAACAAACTGGTGGCTATAACAATATTAGCTCACTTTTTGAAGTCGGCATTCCAGTTCCTGTAATGGCTCACAATATGCTAGTTAATTAAATAACAAGCAGTTAGAAACGTATGAATTAAAATATTAAAACAATTCTATTAATGAAATACTTTTATTTACATATATATATTCGATTAATATTTTCAATACAGTAATATTATACATCATCCTTCACCAGATAGTTATACAGAAGTGGAACGTTCTGTGTAGCCTATGCATTCACACCTGCTCCTAATTCTAACCACCATTTAGCGTAGACATCGGAACAAAGATTCCACTAACAACATCGGCCTGCCTTAGATTTCAACCGATTTACAATTTAGCTAACTTGAATTGAGTGTTTATTCTAAAATAATGACTCACTATAAATAAATAAAGATTCTAAAACAAATTTGGTATTTGTAGATAAAGAATCGAAAAAATGAGATAAATAGATTAAGTAAAAAATAGAAAAACGCGCAACTTGGTCATAAAAATACTTATTTTAAAATTTATTTTTCTTCTGGTTTTTTTTCCTATTTCAGTCATATTTTGACCCCACCGACCCCGCATCAAAATAGTCCCAGATTTCTACTCCAACTGTAAACATTTTCTGGAAAACAGCTATTGTCGTTGTTTTAGCGAAAGCTACACAATGGGCTATCTGAGCTCTGTTTACTGACAGGAATTGAATCCCGGATTTTCGTGTTTTCAATCACTAACCTTACTGCTGACCTACCAGGGGACTTCAGGAGAGCCCTTAAACTTTTTTCTGCTGCCCCCCCCCCCAGTAGCACAGCGGTATGTCTGCGGACTTACAACGGTAGAAACCGGGTTTCGATACCCGTGGTGGGCAGAGCACAGATAGCCCATTGTGTAGCTTTGTGTTTAATTCCAAACAAAGAAACAATTTTTTCTGCTTTCTTAGGTGTGCTTGTAACAAGCTTAATTAACGTTTACCTTCGCCCCCTCTACACGTACACATATACATGTTTCATCTGACCCTTATGTGTGGCAAATTACGCTTGAAATAGAAGTTAAGTCTAATATAGGGTATTATATGAATCTTACTTCTGCAGAGGCATCTCAATTCAAGGTACATCTTATATATCCAACTTTGCAGTTTGTTCAAAAAATTTATTTGTTTTGCCCCTGTTACTAAGTTTTACCTCTTTGGCCTTGATTTTGTTACAAAATACATATACAAAAACAAGTACACAATATTAAATTGCAAGTTATGACGTAAAATTTCTTGAAATCTTGAGTTTTCTCATTTTTATTGGTTAGTCTATAAAGCAAGGAATATTTTCTTATAATACAAATAAAATGAGACTCCTATCCACACTGCTGCCCCCCACAGATCTAAAAGTATTCTTTGTAAACGGGAATACCCTGCAACTTTCCATTTCCATGGGAACATCTGGCTGAATAGTGCATGGCCAATAAAAAGGAAAAGTGGATTCATACCTAAAAGAAACAAGCTTTAATTATTAACTGAAAAAATAGATTGATCGCATGCAATCCAACTAAACACAATTAAAACGCAACACATTAATGCAGTGGGAGCTTAGAAAATAAAAACAGTATAGATATTGTACGTTTGTTTTCTTATATAAATATATTTAATCAAGCCGAATAAAAAAAAAACATTCAAGTCAAATTTTAAACAAAACTACACATATATCCTAATTTGATACCACACCAGGAAAATGAAACGGTCCTCCATTCCATAACCTCTTAACATCAACAGTGACGTACAAGACTGTAAAAGCTGTCAACGATATGAAACCGATAGTCAAGACAAACGATAGCGACCTGAAAAATATATGACAGAAAGATAATATAATTTAGAATTTTGATATTCATGAAAATAAATATATTGTAACTAATGTACACAAAACTAAAGATAATCGGTTATGTGTTTAGTATAAATATATATTTATCAATGCCCCTTGTCTTACATTTTAACAGTTTGAAATTATCAGCACAGCTGAGGAAGCATCTTTTTTAAATATAGAAATGTTTGCTTATACTGAATAACAAATCCCATACTACGTCCAACTGAGTTTAAAACCAATACCAGAAACAGTTCATTTGGATGTTAGAAAAGGTTATCCAAATAAGCTTTATATGCGTTAAGGTGTAGAAGATTATTTGAGTGTATGTGTATGTTTTTTTATAAGCAAACCTTTGTCTTTTATAAACTAAGAAACAAACTTCAAGTCAGTTGTTCTGTGTGATAAGTCTCCTCATCACCAAGTCTTGGAGTACTGCTTATTTTGCCTTACTACTGAACCGTGTGTCACTAGTTAGCAAAAATATTTTACGAGTTGTATATTTGTAGATTTGACTTATATGATACAATTTTAAACTTTAAGGTATTTTTGATGAAACAGACAATACTAAAGCAGAATAATGCGTAAAATGCTACAATTTGGGAGAATCATTAAACATGTGAGTAAAATTAAAAATATATGTCATATTATTATTGAAGTGCAGTAAATTAAAGCAATTTGTTATACTTCTTAGAAGTTTTAAGAGTATGATCATTCATAAAGTTTGTACAAGGTGACAGTAAACACTTAAATTTCTAAGTTTTTCTATATAGTATAGTGAAAACTTTGCTCTTTGGCTATACCCTTTGTGTCCTAGGTTTAATTCATCCTTTCCACCTGCCCTTGATATACCCTTTGTGTCCTAGGTTTAATTCATCCTTTCCACCTGCCCTTGATATACCCTTTGTGTCCTAGGTTTAATTCATCCTTTCCACCTGCCCTTGATATACCCTTTGTGTCCTAGGTTTAATTCATCCTTTCCACCTGCTCGAGATGTACCCTTTGTGTCCTAGGTTTAATTCTTTCTTTCCACCTAGCCTAGATCTGTTTAATCTGGGAATACTACTGTTATTTATGTTCTCAGGATAATTTTTCTTTTTCTAATAGTTAAATTCCAATTTTCGGGTAATATCTCGTTCTTTTAGAAATATTTTAAAGTAACTTTGCTTTCAAAAAAGCAGAAGATATTTTGGCGATCTTACTTTTAACTGATGCTACTATCGATTACAATCAACTCACCAAGCTTTCATTGTTAACTCCCTATCATAGTCTACCAAACTGGATAAGTCTGTAATTCATAGTTGCTTAATTTAACTTCTTATTAGCAGTGTATATGAAAATATTCAAACAAAACAAAAACTAAAATACTGAGTGACGTTCACCGCTTTATTCAGCTTTAAAACAAAAGTTAAATATGTTTTAGGAACTTCCTAACACAAGAAAAAGAGTAATCTGAATTACCATAAATTTTTATTCACTGGTATCAGGCCATCGTTACGGAAACCTCCAGCCAGAACGTAAGCAGTCGCACCCTATGAAAAACGTAGTTGTTACTGTTATGTCACTCCAAAAAACATATACTGGTATTATCATAGAACGTCTTATGAAATCCTATAAAATAGCTTTATTGTACAAAGAAAAAACTTCATACAACACTAAAGATACTCACCAATACGATTATCCAACCCACCCAGTGGGTTAATTTTGTTTTCCAATGTAAATAGGCTAACAGTGTTTTCCCATTCTGAAACATGTTTAAGAAAACAATATATTATAATTTTAAAATCCATTTTTTTCCTTGTAGTTAATTACATAAACATTTTAAAGATGAATTAAAAGTCGAGAAAAAAAAAAAGAGATGTAAACGAGTCAGTCATCTTTTCAACAAAATCCTCAATCTTAATATTTATCAATTTTACTTTTGATATACTAATTTTTCAGACTGATAATACACTGCACGTGTTTAGGATTCGTGTAACCGAAAGTGTCATACTGGTGGTTGAAGAATCAGTACAGAAGTCAAATTATACACAAATAGCATGAAAAACATAAATATAAACATTTTATTTTATTTCCAAATTCAATATGTTCTCATCTAAATAACGAACACATAGCAGCATTTTTGCTAGGCTTTACGAATCATTAAACATTCTTACGTTTCAAGTTCTTTAACACATCAAACAGGTTTTCGTTTGAACTTTTCTTTCTATAACTGTAACACTTTTAATTAATGCTAGTTAGATCGTATTAGCAGGAGTTTGTGATAGGACAATAATTTTACAAAATGCTGGCTACTATTATTTTACATATCATAAATACTGTAATATTACGTAGGACTCATATTCCTGAGGGACAAAATGCTAAGCTGACAAATATTGACATTTCGTAAATATTTTTCGATCAGAGACAACTTTATTTTAATGTCAACATAATACAATTTTCTTTCATATTTCAGAAGCTTTTTATCCTATTTTGTATAATGACACAAGTTTGAATTAGTTTATAAATCCAATATATTAACAAAGAGTTGTTGTTGTTATTAAGGGAACAAAACTAAATATGTGCACGACAAAACATAAGCAATATTATTTCAGCAATATTATTTCATTATTCTGGTGAAGAATGGGTTGTTCCGTGTATACATGTCCACGTGTCATCGAACAATACACTGATTAAAATAACTCGTGAACCCTAACGCTCAAGGAAAAATAAATATTTCCTTTGACGGGACTGAACTAATATGTTTTACCAATTTTAGAGCAGGGAACGAATACTATAACAGGTATCTACAAAAGGCAGTTAGGAAAAGAACTAATAATAACTTTTTATTTCAATCTTTGGTTTTCAAGAGTTGATGCTCTGAAGAAGTTTTATTCCATGTTTAATTATTTTACTTCCAGATCGGTTGAAAAAACATTGTATTCCTGAAAAAATACTTATGCGTCATTTGAAGAACTCGTGGTGGAGAATATGTTAGTGAAGACGATTATATTTTTACTGCTAGGAAAATGTGCTCGTTCCCAGTTTAATTCTAATTAAAAAGGTGTATTTATTTTTGTGCGCTAATTTATTATCAAGGCTACTAGTATACAATAACATAATCTTACTTGAAAACTTGTCACGCATGAAACAGATTCTAAAGGTTCTTAGAATTACAAACCAAAATCATATGTACTCAACTATGTAACGGAGAAAATAGAATGATTTAAAATGTGCATAATAGACCAAAATACAGTTTTGAAAACAGATAGTAAAGAAAGCAACATGGAAAACATACTTGAAGATATCTTTAACTTTTATTGTAAAATACCCATGTTAAAAACAGTTATTTTATATTGTAAAAACCTTGAAATTTAAGATATGCTACTCCAGGTTCGAGTTGATAGATGTGAAACAGAGAATTTGAAAAGAATAATATTTTACAGCTTATCCGTGCAAGATGAAAAAAACAAACAATACACACCTGTATTCCAATAAATACAAGAAATGATGACGTTAGGGTTGCTAATAGTCCTTCGGGATCAAATGGTATTGTAGTATTGTAAATGCTCTGGTTAAAAAAAATAACAAGGTTTTATAATGAGAAAAAAATATAATGTTAAAACTATATATGAAGTACACTGAACAAGATAAGAGTTTGGGGGGATGTTCGTAAGTTGTATTTTATTGGTGACTTCAGACTGGCATTTCTGACCAAAGAATAGCACGGAATCCAACACTTGGTGGCGATCTACTAAAATATAAAAACACAAGTCTATGAAACGGAAAACAATTCAGAAATTATTTTTTCTTTCCTTCAGATAGCATTCCAAAAATTTCCAGAAGAGTTCAGCTTGATTCAGATCGGGGCTTAGGGCTTGCCAAAGCAGAAACTGAATGCCATTTATCTTATAGCCAGGTGGTTAGGGCGCTCGACTCGCAATCTGAGGGTCGCGTGTTCGAATCCTCGTCACACCAAACATGCTCGCCCTTTCAGCCGTGGGAGCGTTATAATGTGACGGTCAATCCTACTATTCGTTGGTAAAAGAGTAGCCCAAGAGTTGGCGGTGGGTGGTGATGAAAAGCTAGCTTTTCTCTAGTCTTACACTGTTAAATTAAGGACGGCTAGCGCTGATAGCCCTCGTGTAGCTTTGCGCGAAATTCAAAAGAAACAAACAATCTTATGCCACTGCCAGACGTGTCTTGTGGTATGGAACTGTACGTTATCATGTGACCATTTTCCATACAATCCACTCAAAACAAGTCTAAGTTAACTAAAATAATCTCACACCTTGATAATCCTTCTACCACTCCATTTGGTTATGATGACAAAGTTATATTTACATTTAAAATACTTTTCAGATTGTCATCAAACCCAATAGTTTTCCATTGTCTTTGTTCTACTTCAATTCAAAATACCTCAAAAGCCGACATCTTGTCTTTACAGCAGCGATGAAAGACTTAGGGGCTGGAACAGCATGAAGCTTCTTATGCAAAGGCTCTAATACAGTGTCCAATTTACGGTTTCATGTTTCGAACTTCACATGAATCTAGAGAATGGTTACTTTGGGGCAAAAGGATTGATATTCCACTGATGTTTAATGGTCTTCAATTCTTTCAGAACACTCTCTAACTGTGACCATGCATATGAATAGTAGTACTGAAATGTACTTGCCATTAATGTTGCATCTAATAACCTATCCCTGACAAAGATTTATGAGCTCCTTTCCTAGTGGTATTTTGAATCCAACTAACTGGCCGTGGTAGCTGCCAGCCATTATAAGTCACATACAGCAGAGCACCATGTAATTCACATGCAATTTCAATAGGGAGAAGCCCAGCGAGAGCTAGAGTATGTCGTTCTTATACCTTTGTTAATAAAGTGTATATCTAGTTTAGCTAGCTCAGAACCTGCTGGTGAATGTAAGGTTACTGTAAAAGCTGAAGTGTAGTTAAATATTCGGTTGAATCTTGTAACTTCTAGTCTCAAGTAATCTTTAAACCAACATGAAAAACTGTGGGCTTGTTCCTTGCAATTCGTATTTTAGTTTGACTTACCTCTGATCCGTAACAACCAACCAATGATGTGATCATTTTTATTTACACATTTTCGTATACCTTTTTATAAGAATTTAAATAATTAATAGGAAATACTATTTTTTTTCAAATTATTACATTTCTAGTGTAACGGAGAGATGAGAATAAATTAATTTCATTCATTTCAAGCAGTTAACTAATTTATGAACAAATCTAGTTTTATATCCATTTAAATAATCTGTACAATATTATTGCTAACACGATTTTTGCAAACTTGATACAAAAATCATTGTTTCTAGAAATATTAACAATCATTCAGCTTAAATTTGAATTTGATGACAAGTAACCAGTTTTTAGAAAATAAAAGTTTGAAGAAAAGATTATGTCATCATCAAGTACAAGTAGTTTACATAGCCCCAGAAATATATAAACTTTTTTTTCAAACAGATGGTTAAGCATGGGCAACTCTGTTTCACCCAGATCGAAACATACAATCCACACTTTATCCTCCCCTATACCGGTATAGATATGTTGATGACACTTTTGCTGGTTTCACTTCTAAGGAACACATTCATACTTTCTTTGAACACCTAAACTCCATTCACCCCTAACATTAAATTCACCATTTAACACGAAAATAACGAACAGTTATGTTTTCTTATCCTCGACATTATTAGATCCAACACTTAGTTCAAAATCAAAATTCACCGAAAAATCCCCCAAACAGGCTTCTACATCCCATGGAATTCCGCGCATGAGTCCAAACAAAAACATCCATGCACTAACAAACCTTATAAACACAGTTTCAAGACTTTGCTCAACTGGCTACATAGATGAATAAATCAACTTTATAAAGCATTCCTTCATTCACACCAACAAATTTCCACCAACTATTGTCTAAAAAATTTACACACAACCACCAAAACAATAAGCCTCAAAACTCAATTCACAAACAAAATTGACACTAATGCACCAAACAATAACACAACATTACACTGCAGTTCACCATTTATTCATGAAATCAGTTCAAAAATAATCAACACTCGGAGAAAACTTGCCATTAAACATATAATTCCTGTAACGAATTTGTTGTTATGTATTTATTTTAATATCAACGTTGTTTAGATTAAGTTTATATTTAAAAACATGCATAGCTTATAGTGTTAGATATGTACTGCAAAACTTCCGTCTATTCTCCAAAGTTGTAAAAGATTCTCGAGAGTAAGAATCTGAAGTATATGTGTGTACGTAAACGCTTTAATCAGTATTGTTATGTAAGACTGAATTTTCTAGAAAACCTTCCCACGGCTATAAATATAGCCAACACGACACGCCGAAGAGTATCTATTATAAGTTCGCTATAATAAGTGTGCTATAAACTTCGAAAGCTATAACTGTGATTTTTATAACGCTTATCAATGGGAAAACTTAAGATATTTGACCAGGAATATTTATAAATTTCGAACATTACAAATCGTCTAATTTCAGTGGATTCTTATCGGACATTAGTATTTTTACGAAAACATTACCTAACTTCAACCGAAAAAAACCTAGCGTGTGTGGCCAAGGACAATGCTAGCTAGCTTCCCAACGTATGGTATCTACATCAACTCATAATTAACTCGCTCATCGTAAACCCTCGATATCAAGGGAGTTCCAAACTAGAAATAAGATTTTATATTGTTTGTAAGTTTGTGAAACTTTTGTTTATAAATCTTTGTTTGTAATAACTATTTGTAATAATTGTTACTGTAAATTGTATTGTTGTGTGTATATTAAAACGCATTTGTGTTAAAAACGAAGACGGTGTATATCAATCTTGTTAGCAAATATCGTAAATTGACTAAAATATTGGCATGTATTTAAATACTGAATGCAAAGTACAATTTAACTATTAAATTCAAATTATCAGTTAACTCAGCTTCGGACTATTCGTAATTCTAATACGTAACAAATTCAAGTTGACTAAAAAACCCGGCCCTAAGCTATAATCATTACTAAATAAAAATTAGATAGAATTACTCAATACTAACATCATTTTATAAAATATCGTGCAATAACTGTCCAGGATTCTACATCGGAGAAACCGAAAGACAATTGGAAACCAGATTCACCTAACATAATAAAAAACCCTCTCATGTTTACCACCATTGCAACTCAAAAAACCACAGTATATCAATACAAAACGCTGTAATTTTTAACAAACAACCAAACATTCGCAAACTCAAAATAAAGGAAGCTATCTTAACTGAACAAAGTAACCCTATTCTAAACCAACATCTCAGGGTACGAAGATACCTTTATTAAGCTGTTTTCCGGTCATGTGACCTCTCTGTTCCATACTGTATATATATTCTTGTGTCTATGTAAACTACTTGTACCTGATAATGACATAATATTCTCGAAACGTTGAACAGCTGTAATAAAGTTTTCTTTATTACCCATTCAGGACGTCTGCAAACTTTTATAATCATTCAGTTTGTTAATGTTCGTTCCAATCATTTTTTTCTATATTTTTCCAGATCATTATAGTTTATGTGAGCACTGCTAACAGAAATTAGACACATTTAGATAAAAAGTCCACTTAGTAATATTAATAGATAAGGAACCATATATTTTCTTGAACTAAAAAAAATCATATATGTATTCCATACCTGCATTGCAGGTTTTTGAAAAATATGATTTTCACCAAACACTAGTAAGTCAAGATATCCGGCTGCTCCTCCTGTACAGTTTTGATATCTTCCATTCATATGTAAACCCCCAGGTCCGTGATAACCTCTGGAAATACCACAATAAGATAAAACATTTCTAAGATATTCTAGTTTAGTTAAAACTGCCTTAGATTTTACACTGAAACATTTAGTTTCTCCATAATAAAATCTAAATGTATTCATGTTTTATTAAATAAATCATGGATACGAGTTGTCTGCCACATGGTAGTATTTTTTTGTTTTTGTTTAACCAACTAAAGTTTTCAATAAGATTTGTAAAATATAATATGAACAGCACATATATACATACAAGACAGTGAAATATGTCTTGCATTTTTAAATGTTTAAATAAACATCAAAACAAAAACTGTTTATGATTTGTGTCTAGAGTTTTTGGTATAACAGTTTATGTCTACTAAGAGTAAAAATTTAATAAATAACTCTTAAAAACTCTAGTTTAAAACATTTATAGACTAAATAAACACTTGTTTAATACCGACCTAGGACATCCGGGAACTTCTAAGAAGAACATTATTAGCGTATGAACAGATAGGATGATCAACATCGTCAAATAGTCACCTTTGCAAAGAAGTATCTTAGTCACAGGGTGCCAGCATTGTTCCTGTAATGAGGTAAATTCAACGTTAGTTTCTGAAAGTTTAATAACACGTTAACTTGCTGCCACCTTAATGTTAACTAATGTAAGAAGATAATTTTAAGCAGATTTCAGTAAGATGTCTGAATGAAAAAAAACAAAAAACTGAATTTTGTGTGTGATTATTTACGGAAAAATTTAAGAGCAACTTAAATGTCCAGGTTGTTTAGTAATTAAATACCAAAACGCGCACACATATAAATTGGTAGAAATTTCCACAATCTATTCGTTATACATATAATGAATCATTTGCTTTCTGAAGCTAAGAAATTTACATGTATATTCCGTACCTGGCATCATGGGTTTTTGAAAATAATAATGTTTACCAAACAGCGGTGAGTCAACTAAGTTCTAATGTCTCCCATTCATATTTAAATAAATACAAAAATTATATATAAAAACCGCATAGAAGATACAATATTAAGTTTAAGAAAGAAAAAGAAACACTAAATACAATGGTACTAAAATATAGGAAGTCCTTAATTTGACACAACGTTTCGGGCCTAAACCCTTCTTCATTTGATGGCTGTTTTAAAATCGCATATACCCTTAGGTATATTGAACAGACATCACCTGGAGAGGGGTTTAGGCCCGAAACGTTTTGTCAAATTAAAGTTTTCCTAGATATTATTACTATTGTATCTAGTGTGTTTTTTTTTCTTCCCTTTAATAAACTCATCCATATTTATATAACTAGTGTTAAAATTTTACTGAAAATTCAAAGTCAAAATTAAATTTTGCACTAATAATGCATGTTAACTTTCATATATGTGGCATGTCCTCAATAAATCCTTGACAAATTATAAAGTTAATCCATTTTAGAAACTACCTATTACATCTTATAACCTGTTACAGTTTCTTATTTTAATGAAATCGTTATAAATAAAGAAAAGGGAACCATATAATAAATGTCCTTACTTGGTCTTCGTTATTCCTCTTGAAAAAGAGCAGATGAGTACTGCTTGCAATGAAAAATGCCACTCCAATAAGCTGTAAAACTCCAGGAATTCTAAGTTTTGATGGGAAATCTTTTCCTAGAAACAATTTCGAATACAAGTCTTCATATTTCTGAGTTTGGAAATATTTTTTCTACTAACGCTGAAACGTCTTTATGATACTTGTCATTCTTGAAATACGACTATATCTACTACATTAAATATTATTTAGATTTCATTCTTAGTTCGAATACTGTTCTCGCACGAGTTTCAATTACGTTTTATTTTTGTGAAGCAAACCCGAAAATATTAAAAAAAGAACAAAGTACAGAAACCGAAATCGAAACCTTTTTTTCAGAACTATTGAAGTTTTTGTATACAAGTGTTTCCTTTCTTATTGGAGTATCGGAAAAGTGAAGATTTTTACAAGTAATGGCCAATTTTCACACTTTTGTTAATATTTATAACAACAAAAGAATACTTTAGTTCTAAGATCATTCTCTACCAGCTTGTTAACATATTGTTTTTTTTTTAACAATGCACTTATGATTTTACTATTATAAATCATTTGTCTTACGAAAAATTTGATGTTCGTCTTTATCAGTTTTATTAAACAGGATCAGAAATGATTTATATACATTTATATACTTATCCTGTAGCTTATTCTGTGTTTTTTTCCTAATACTAAGTTAATGTTGTATGTTTTTAATATTCATATACTGTTCCTTATCATGTAGCTTATTCTGTGTTTTTTTCCTAATACCAAGTAAATGTTGTATATTTTTAATAGTATATACATATTAAAGATATACAACATTTACTTGGTATTAGGAAAAACACAGAATAAACTACAGGATAATTGTATATATAAATGTTCCTTATCCTGTAGTTTATTCTGTGTTTTTCCTAATACCAAGTAAATGTTGTATATCTTTAATATTCATATACTGTTCCTTATCCTGTAGTTTATTCTGTGTTTTTCCTAATACCAAGTAAATGTTGTATATTTTAATATTCATATACTATTCCTTATCCTGTAGTTTATTCTGTGTTTTTTCCTAATACCAAGTAAATGTTGTATATTTTTAATATTTATATACTGTTCCTTATCTTGTAGTTTATTCTGTGCTTTCTCCTATTGCCAAGTAAATGTTGTATATCTTTAATATTTTTTGTTAAGAATATTTTATCATCAAATCAGGGAACACCGAAACTTTTAAAGTATAAACCATTACGTGTCATGATCTTAAAACTACTTTCTGTTTTCTTAATCGTTGTTTTTTTTACATATATATAAATTCATAAATGGAAATAAAAAATTCATGAACTCACTGTCCTGAACCAAGTTAATATTTATTACGACACCGATGATAATCATTGAAAGTGATCTTGTGACAATTCTTCTGAATAACATCCAACGTGACACACCCTTGCACAGTTTCGAATTGAACGACAACGCTGTCGAAACTCCCATGACCCATACAAAACTGTAAAAGAAAATTAATAATACTATATTAGGTAATCTTAGCATGCAAACTTTTCAGAAATATCTCGAAAGTTTGAAAGCAAGCTCATGCAAGTATATACTAAATATATACATGTATGTATATATATATGAGTGGTTTGTCATTCTGAAATGCTCCTTAGGACTTCTAACGCTAAAAATCTGTTTTCGATACCTCATTTTGTAGCTTTGTACTTAATAACAGAACAAACAAATCGATGACAAATGATGAGGTACATGTAAAAAATGGCGCCGAACTTCAGAATTTCGTTTTTAGTCGTCACATTGTTTCTGTGTGTAGAAATGAACCACAGGAGAATTAAAAAAAAAGAACCATGTAGAAATTCCGATAAAACGCATTAAAAATATAATATTACACAAAGACGAAATTTAATTCTATTCTGAGAGGATCTAAACCATGGAAAATTGTCCACAAAATTCACTATGAAATAATAGTTATGACATCAAAGTAGAATTCGGAAAGAACTTGATACACATACAGTAATCACAAATAATGTGTAAGTGCAACTAAGTGGTCAAGTTATCATTAATGCAATATATTATCATAGGTAATACAAAATATAAGCGAATAAGTTGTACAATACGATAGTTATGTTGTATCTTTATTAATTAGAAATAGTATTTTATTGAAATTTTAGTTTAAAAATGAGATGTAATCACAGCATTACATCACAGAGTAGATTTTATTGAAGTATTTCTTTGTAGACGCAGCTGTCAATGCTTTTCTGTTGTAACACTCATGAGATTTTCACTAAAGAAAAACAAATAACTTTATCAAGTTTTTGTTAATTGTTTTATATTTGAAACTTACTAATTTTTTTGTAGTTTTTATTAGTTAAATCTGAAACTTACTGCTTTTTAGTTAGTTTTATTGGTTAAATCTGAAAAAGGCCATTTTTTGGAAATTTCAATAGTTTTAGTTATTGCTCAGCTATAAAAATACTGCCTAGTTATTAAAATATTACCCAGTTATGATTGGTGCGGTAGTTTCCGAGATCCAAGTTTTGAACGTATACATCACAAGCTCCATTATAATAAAGATACAACATACTATCGTATTGTACAACTTATTCGCTGATAAAATATTGCATTAATGATAACTTGACCACTTAGTTGCACTTACACATATTGTATGGGAATAAGTACAGGACATATGTATATTATATATTGTATGGGAATAAGTACAGGACATATGTATATTATATACTGTATGGGAGTAAGTACAGGACATGTGTATACTATATATTACAATCACACATTGATAAACGTATGGAAACTAAGAAACAAGGGGCTGCATAGTTTAAAAAAAGTAGCAGAAATCCTCCCCTCTCCGGACAGGTATAACTGCTAGTTGCTGCGGATGGCTATTGAGCCTGAAGTCAAAAGTCAGGCCTGCGGCCTTTTCTGGAATTGTCTGACAGTTCTAGAACAATGTACTCATACTTGACATTCAATAATGTTCACCATCCATATAATATACATATGTCCTGTACTTATTCCCATACAATATATAATATACATATATCCTGTACTTATTCCCATACAATATGTAATATACAAATGTCCTGTAATTACTCCCATACAATATATAATATACATATGTCCTGTACTTATTCCCATACAATATATAATATACATATGTCCTGTACTTACTCCCATACAATATATAATATACATATGTCCTGTACGTATTCCCATACAATATATAATATACATATGTCCTGTACTTACTCCCATACAATATATAATATACATATGTCCTGTAATTACTCCCATACACCAGGTAAGCTGTTTCGTTGTCTTTTGACCTTTCAGAGTCAATATAAGCCCATACAGCCTTAATAGTATTAGTACCTGGATTTTCTGCAGGTCAAGGCCTTTTATTTCTTCAAGACATGTTTTCACCATATTGAAATTATAAACTAGCAGGAAGGCAGCTAATCAACACCACAGGTCGCCAACTCTTGGGCTACTCTTGTTAGACCAAATAGTGTTATTTGACTGTCACTATTATAACGTACCCACTGCTCCCAAATATGGAATCAATTTTTTTTAATGACGGTAACGGGATGCGAACCACGAAACTTGAGATCCTGGCTAGTGCATATAGGCATTATATAGCTATGTGTGACTATCTGAAACAAACCAACTAACTAGAGCCATTTTGAAAAAAGCTGGTGCTTAATGTTCAAAAATCACAAAACTACATTTTCATCTTAAGGTAAAACTTAAGTGAAGTGTCAAAGTATTTGAAAGTGCTATCGAAAGTAGCAGCTATTAGTTGTTTACCACCATAATATGCACATTGAGAAATGTCTGCAACAGTACTTTGATATAATTATAATTGTCCAGTGCTGTATGCAGGGTGGGCCATAGCGAACCCATCCCCACAATAGATACACTAAAATATTCTAATTATGTTGCATTTCATGAGACTTTTATGAGGAGTTTTCAATAAAACTGTATCGATAACAATGATGGACACTAACCGTTTATAATGTTGGCCAGATTAATTGTTCATACAATTACAGCTTAACCACTATGAAAGGTGTTATTGTGTCGGTTGTAATTTCGTTTAGGTTCATTGGAGAACTGACTATTACAAACACTATATATATATATATATTACATAAAGAGTACCATATGGAACCAATCTTACATTTTTCATTGTCTTTCAACGCAATAAGATTATTTAATGGTTTCCATAGTGAGACACTGCTTCTGTGCTTATTATTTTACAAGAAAATACAAGTTACTTTTATCATTACCATGGTAATATAACGTCAGAAATACATAGACCATCCCACGGTGCATGCTCCATGATGAGGTAGTCTCCATTAGAAAAATTTGCAAATATCATAACAGCTATCACGAGAATGCTGGAAAAGCAAGTTGATCAGTCCAAATTTATGACAAAATACAAAGATAATAATCTTATCTTAACATTTAGAGCAACTGATATAAAGAACTTAACCACTTCTCTAATTACAAATATATACACAATAATTTCATATATACTACATTTAATGAGTGGATTAACCAATGTGTATTTTTGTTTGAATTTCGAGGCATTTAACAATTTAGAGTTGGTTTCAATACGTTTTTCTTCCCTCTTACAGATGACGCTCATAATATCTGCAGGGAAATCTATCAGTTCTCCTTTCCTCTCCATACGTTCCCTGGGTCATATTTCGTACTACAATTCCTTCAAGATATATGAACATGCTCAACTTGATGCATTGATACATTTTCATTTATCCTGAAGGGCTAAACGACTGTTAAAAAAGGCATTACGAATGGAGTATAAGAAATGACGTAAAGTATTTGAAATAATTACGGTAACACAGAAGTAACACATGAATAACAAACAGCGAGTAATTGCAGCTAAATGGTGAGCTTATCATACTGAAAAGACAAACGAAAGGCAAATAAATCGTACAATGCACTAGTTTTTCTTGTTGTTGTTTACTGCACTACAGCTTAGTTTTATGCTATCATAAGTTCGTCATTAATTGATTGTAAACATTTATTATAAATGTCGCACATTTGTTCTCATAATTCGACCAAGTGGTTTTTGAGCAGCTACATGTTCATTGAGGCGATTTCATGCTAATGTGTATCTTACGTTTGTAGAGATTACAATCCTACCTCAATTTATAGCTTGGTCATGATAATGACATCTAATGGAATGTTGTGTAATCCATAAAGACTACACCATGAGTTACTTAACACCACTTTGAAGAGTTTAGGATTTTTTTAGTAATCTCAGGTGCACTGATAACCTCAGAGATAAGGGTTGTAATTGCAATAGAAAAAGATTCGGCAGAAAACGTTATGCAGAGTTTCCTACCTGACTGAAATAAATTGAAAGACGAGACTGGACACAATATGGCCGTGAAAACAAATGATCGTTTATTGCTTTTCTGTTGTGTCTAGAGAAAGATTTGGGTGATATCTGAATAAAATCTCTGCGAACTCTGAAAGAGTTAACTACTATATAGCAACCAATAGAGTAGTTTCTTCCAAAGTACATGCGTTACCTACATCACCATTAGTTGTTCCGTGTGTAAAAATATGGAGGATATATCTTCGAGGTATCACATGACCAAGGGTTCAGTGCTGCCGGAGCACACCAAAGCGCTGCTCCGACACCTTGAATTAGATATTAGTTCCGCTACTTCAAAAACTATAGATATATATATATATTAAAAAAAAATCGTTTAGTTTACACCCGAATTTAAGAATTTTACATAACCAAACTCTCGGAGTGTTAGAGAAAATTCTAACTGTTTGTAATCCCCGTGTCCACTAATAGCGTTCTCTCAGACCACCCATCACACATTCTGTCACTCTCCCTCAGGAGCTGGCGTCAGGCACTGTGTGATTCCTCCGGCTCAAGAGCAGGTGTCAGAGAGTTAAAATGGTGAATTTTTTTTCATAAGCCAGGTGAATATGGTAATAAAACGCTTAAAATACATTACACAATTATACCGCATGTTTAAAATGCACAAATTTTTAAAGTACATTATTTACACAATATACAATAAATGTAGCTTTTTATTACTTGTTGGCGTTGGCAGGAAAGAAGGTGTGCAAAGCATTATAAAGGTTAAATTTGCTAAAACTGAAGTTGAAGGAGACTACAAGTACTGTATATATGGTATCTAGTTGTTTCTTGTTTTGTTTTTCTTTGTTGCTTCGTTTAAAAGATGAGTTGCGTGTTTTCTCTCGGTAATATATAACTTTCAGTTGATTATCAATGTCAGTAGTTTCAAGTAATTAATAATGTATATAATTTTTTTCATTTAAAACGGACTCGCAAAATGGAAATTAGGTTTTGAATATGAAATCTTTACCCAGATGGTGAGGTCACACATCTGAAAAATTTTGGCAGGGCTTTGATGGTGTAAACTTAAACACTACACCACTGTCCATGACTCGCCAATGGTCTAATCGCTGTTCAAATCTGCATATTTTTTTCAACAATGCGTTATAGCCACAAAATTACTTACGAGAAAGCGCATGTGACACCATAAAACAATGATCTTTAGCAATATGTAACTAGAGCAAAAGCAGTTTAGCCATGTTTTAGGACCAACCCTCTATTATCTATTTACATACACTCCAAAAACGAGTACATTTAAAAATTCTCGGTGAATACAAAATGTTCACCCATCTAAATTAAATAGGAAAATAAACGCTACATTTGCAACGCCATCGCTTTTATTATCAACTTTACTTGTTTCAAATACCCCCCTTTTTTTTAGAGTTTCCACACAGCTCATACTGAAACATGAAATTAAACCTTACTTTTTCGCAAGGAGTAACCTTCAATACCCATATATTTTAATTCTATAATCTTGCCATGTAGATATTTTTGGCCTGGGAGCTATGAATCTATTTATCAAACTACTACTTAGAATAGAATAACGTGACTACCAGTATTTTTTATAAGATTATACTGCTGTGCCATTGTGTGATTGTTTAGATCACAGACACTCACAATGTAAACTATCAACACGTGCCTGTGCTCTGATGAAGTTCTTTTTTTATATACTGGAGGCGTCGCTAGACACTAGCACACAGGGCCCGTGCCACTATTCTATTTGACAGTGTCCCCGAATCCCTAGTTGGTGTCTTGAAAAATCAGAATAGAAAACCATGATGGATATTACACTGAAACGCCGAAAATTCCGGCCCTATTGGCTCGAGCCCCTAGCGACGCCTCCGCTAGAGGGGGGGGGGGCAATCCATAATATTTGCATTTCATTCACTGTTTCCATAATTATTTCCAAAAATGTACATGTGTAACAAAACTACTTTATTGTGATATTTCGCCGAAGTTTAATAAACGTAATGCTTTTATCGATTTCTTTAAATACTACAAACCCAGCCATTTGTAAATAACAAAATTCTGTGATTCTAATGAGAATATGGCCTAATAATGTTATCTGTTTAGTGTGGCTCGTATTTTGTGATCTGTTATTTACAGTATCTTGAAATATTAATGTTTATTATTAATATCATAACTTTGTGGCAACATTTAAACATTACCCTCGAAATGAGTCGAGCGACCGAAGGCGGCTTTCCTTGCGGGGTATGAAAACATCGGATACCACATACGGAAGTGAAGGATACTACAAATAAAGACAAATATTTGTCAGATTGGACTTAACCTTAGGAAATCTGGGAACATTAATATGTTTTATACATAAAACATTAAATGCTTAAGGAAGTGCCTCTGGCGAATGAAAAGATACTGTATGGCATGAATTTAAGTATAATAAGAACAGACCAGAATTGCTTAATACTAACGGAACATATAGACAACTTAAAAAAGCACTTAAACTGTAATTCCTGATATTAAACTTAAAATAATTTCGTTACATTAAAAAAACCGTAATCATTTCATACATGTATTAAGGCTTTTAAAAAAATTCAATGTCCATTTTTAATGGTTATTTTGCGAATTAAAAAAAAAAAGTTAATTTCTGTATCGAAATTTGTGTCTTTTAATTTATTGCAAAAAAATATTTTATTTAAAATAATTATTCAAAATATCGTTATAGCTCATTAAATTTGCGAAAAAACGAGACAATAATAATAATAAAACATACTCACTTCAGAAGATATGGGTTTTATTTCTCGGGACTGGATATAAAAGAACTTAATGTCTTGAACTTTTCTGAAATTACAGACATTTTTAATTTATCTGGAATCTTAAGTCATTAAGATTACACAGGCGTACGCTGAATCCGAAAATGATATCCATTTTTCTCCATAACGTACAGATTTTTCACAAAACGTCATAACGCAATACATAAAAGAAAGACCACAACACGTATATTTAAGACTAAAAGACGTAGATTTCACTCACAAAAATCAGGATGAATGAGGATGCATATTCGTTTG